TAAATGAGATCATGGGAGCCCTTTGAGAGGAGCAGGGCAGGAACTGGGAGTAAGGGGATCACAGGATGACGAGACCCTGCTGAGGGTGCTTTGCTCTTTCACTCTCTCTTTCTTACGAGTGCTCCTCTATAAATAAAAATAAAACTTAAACAAGTTCTGAGCGAGCCTGTGAGTGCACACACTTGTGTGTTGCCCACGTGGGCATCTTACTTGGCTCTGGGTACGTTTCTCTTTCAGACAAGCCAATGTGGAGAAAGCCAGGGGCGGGGCAAGGACTGGGACAGCCGCCTGAGCCTCCGCTGGAGCTGACCCTTGCCATTTTCCCCTTTTCTCTACTCCAGCCACTTGGTGAAGGATTGTCCAGGAAGCAGCCCCTCACTGTGAAGGGGCAGCAAGCAGGGAAAGGGCAACCAATAAACTATTTCCCTAGTCCCTGGAGCCTGGAGCTCCCTCCCTGTCATTCACCCTTCAGTACGGTTCCTCCCCGGGTAAGTGTGGGTTTTGAAGTCAGACCTGGCTTTGCACTGCTTCTCCCACTAGCAGAGGCCTTACTTAGCAGAGGCCTTACTTAGAGTTACTCAAATTCTTTGAACTTTAGTTTCCTCATTTGTAAAATGGGGCTAAAATACCTGCCTTGACATGATATTGTTAGGATGAAAAGAGATGGTGTAGATGCTTTCTGCGGGACCTGAGAGGGTTCTTAATAAATAGGGGCTGCTCCTTCATTGAAACTGGGCTCCCTGCGGCAGTAGAAGGTGTCATTCTAAAGAGAAGGATTGCTAATGGGAAAGTATGACAGAACCTGGTTAAGACATTTTTTTTTTCTTTATAAAACTTTTGGGAATAGAAAGAGGCAAGTCTACCAAAAACAATGAAAAAATAAATCAGGTTAGTGGCTGTAAAGATGGAAGCATTAAAAGCTAAGCTGGAATGGGAACAGGGAGAAAACAAGAACATCCGGTGTTCTCTATAATATAAACATGGTCCCACTTGTCTCCGGGTGCTACTGCTCCACTGGGGCATGGCGCCCATAGCACCTTTGCTTCACATGAACAAAACTTCTGCTCAAGAACTGTTTTTGTATTCTTCCGAATACATTAAAAGATCATTTATCCATTTGACTGCGTAAAGTACAATATAACATTACTTACATTGTTTATATTTAAACATCAGTGGAATCAGAAACAGAAAATAGCAAATCACCAAAGTAACACTGAAAGAGCCAAGTGGTGACACAGTGGTAATGTAACTATGGACCCTCCGCCCTGAGTACATCAAGGCCACATGAGGTACATGCTTGTGACCCGAGCCAGCTGAAAGGGACATGGATTACAGCGTGAACACCTTTGAGGTTGCCTCTGTCTTTCATGGAAGAAATCCATCAGCTTACATATACGCACACATGTATACACACACACACACATCTAAACCAAGCCACTCTATAGAAGCACTTTTTGTTATCATTATTTATATAGAATTACTGAAGTGTCAGAAAAGTCACAACACGTTGTTGCATAGAAAAATGTAGAAAAAAGATGTCATGGGGCCAGCAGGTGGCATAGTAGTTAAGGCCTTGGACTCCCACATGGTTGACCACGGTTCAAGTCCTGGACCTGGTGGCTTGAAACTCACACCAGGCGCACGTGCATGTGTGTCCAAAATCCCGAGAGGATAACGGAGGAGAAGGGATTGCAGCATGGCTACCCCAGAGGGGTGATTTCTCACTTTCTCTCTTTCTGGTGAGCACAAGCACCCTATAGTACAAATTTCTCTAAAAACAAAACAAAACAAAAACTGAACTCTCTCTCCCTCCTTTTGTAAGAATGATCTAACCTACAGGTTGGCAAGCCGTGGCCCATGGGCCAAACGTAGCCAGCTGCTTGTTTCTAGAAGCAAAGTATCATGGAATACAGCCATGCTCGTTGGTTTACACATTGTCTAAGGCTGCCTTTATTTTCCTCCAGAAGGCACATGTGCTCACCAGGGCACGAGAGAAGATGACAGAGAGTGAGAGAAAGCACCCACCATGGGCGTGGCCACACAGCAATCCCTCTTTCTCCATTTCTCTTTCCCACCAGGATTGTGGGCACACGCGCTCAGCATGTTTTTCAGGTCATGGTTCATGACCCACGGTCAGCATGTGGGGTCTAGTTCCCAATGCCCACTGCTGTGCTACAAGTCCTGTCTAAGGCTGCTTTAGTACTGCGCTGTTGGAGATGATGCACAACAGCAAAGCCTAAAATATTCACTCTGGCCCTTCACAGAAAAAGCTTTCAAACTGTAATCTCATCTCTTAGCCCTTATTCATTCTCGTTCCATCACGCTGTGTATGAAAGTACTTGGAGTTCCCCTTGTATCGGGACACTTTATGTTTTGATATCTTTGCCTGTGCTCTTCCTTCTGTCTGGAATTCCCACCCCCCACTCTGCCAGGAAGATTCACCCTCCTCAACCCTCCCAGGAGGTGCTGTAAAGCATTCCCTTCAATTCAAATTCACTGTGATATTTTTTGTTAGAAGATATATATGGTTGTTGTACGAGAACCAAAAAACTATGCCTGGGAAAGTACTTTGTAAACCTATAAGGTGCTATATAATAGTAACAACTACTAATGATAATTGTAATAGTTAGTATTATGCTTGGCAGCATCACTGCCCACCTCTGTTTCTACTTTTATTTTTCAAACCATTTACAGGGAGTTTTTTTAGACCAAAGCACTACAATTGGCTTTCATGGGGTAAAGCGGTGCCCTTTCTTATAACAGCTCTTTATTTTATTTATTTTTTGAGCGTTTTTGCTACAGGGCTCATGCGCTCACCACAGAGACAGACACAGACAGACAGAAAGCACCCTGCAGTCCCTTCTCCTCCATTCTTCTCTCTGGGTTTTGGGCACACGCACACACACACACACACACACACACACGCCAGTGTTAGTTTCAAGCCTCCAAGTCTGACACTCAAACCACAGTCAACCACATGAATGTCCAGTGCCTTAATCACCATGCCACCTGCTGGCCTCAATTCTTCTTTAGTAAATACTGTCAATATAGTGCAGTACCTGGGCTAGTTATTTTACCTGCACCAGAGGCCAATTTGGGTCAATTTTACAAGTCTCATAAATTATTGAATAATCATTAAGTTGACTCCAAACATCAATCAACCAGCCAAACAAAAGATGGTAACCCTCTGTCTTGTCCTTCTATTTCTTTTGTTTTTCAATGTATTTTAAGTTTATTTTTATTTATTATTATTATTATTTTAATTTTTTGTAGGGCACAGGTGCTCACCAGAGTGAAACAGTGAGAGTGAGAGCAAGAACAAGAGAGAGAGAGAAAGTGAGAAAGCGAGCTGCCAGGTCTTGGAGTCAAACTGTGGTCAGCCATGTGGGAGTCCAGTGCCTTAATTACATCACCTGCTAGCCCCTTTATCCTTCAATTTGACTCCAGAGAACAAAGGTTGGAATCCTAGAGAAATGATAAATATGAAATCCTGAGGAAAAAAAATGCTAAACCAAAGAGCTACTTTATCCTTCGGTTGTAGTCAATTATGCAAAAATTGGACAAGATAATATCCTGGAGTATTTCATTTATCTAGGAAAAAAAGGGGGAGTGGAGGATCTGAGCTAGTATATATAAGCCTGACATGATGCCTAGAATCTGTGGGAATTCTTTTACTTTCCCAAGGTGTCTTCTAGAGCATGGCTCTGCATGACAACATATCGTAGCCGTAGTTTTTTTAGTAATGGGTGTTCATTGCTCTCTCTGACCATTCCCCTTTCCTCTGGGATTCAAATAACCTCATAGAAATTATTACCATGGGGGCCAGCAGCTGGCATAGTGGTTAAGGTGCTGGACTCTCACATGGCCAACTGCAATTTGAGTACTGGACCCAGCTGATTGAATATCACGTCCAGTGAACGTGTGTGTGTGCCCAAGATCCCAAGAGGAGAATGGAGGGGAAGAGACTGCAGTGTGGCCACCCCCGAAACACCACCACCAAGGGTTGATTTTTCACTTTCTCTCTCTTTCTCTTTCTGGTGAGCACAAGGCCCTATGACCAAAAAAAATATTATCATAAAGTATAATATGTTAAAAAGCTGTAATGCAATGTCACATATGTGTGTGAATAGTTTATTAAACAGTGATCTATTGGGAATGAGGGGAGAGAGTTAGAGTTTTCCATTTGCCTTGCAGAAAGTTTAATATATGTGTTGAAAGCCACAAGGCTAAGGTTCAGATTTTGCAGAGTGAAAGCTTGGGCAGTTATGAATGCTTAGAGTACCAGAGACAAAAGCTTTTAGTTATAACTGCATTTCTGGAGAAGAGGGTGCCTGCTCCTTCACCACTTCCATTAAGGAGCAACTACTTATTTTAGTGGTGCCTTTCTTTTCAGGAAGTACAATATATAGTAAGGGCAGAAAAATCAGCAAAGGAAGAAATTTGATATTGATTTTCTTTTCTTCTGTGAAATTACATGAAAGCTCAATGGCTTGTAGCAGTAACTCAGTCAATAAGACTCCATTTGAGACCACCTTGAAGTTCAATGATCTCCATCCTTTTAAACTTCCTCTAGTGTCAAGTTCTTTTGTATTTAATTGTCTTTGATGCTAAGATACTAGGAAGCTTTTTATTCATAACACCATAAAGAGGATTTTTGCCAAAGGTAGAACTGAGTCTTCCCAGAAAACACAGGTCTGCCCCTCCTTTTAGTTAAAAATCAGCTACAAATCGGAGCATCTAAGTCTAAAAGGACTTGAATAAGGTGAACAGAAAGAGTCGATGTGAAAGTTTTTCAGTCTTAGGGGGCTGCTAGGTTTTTCTGGGCTTCAACTGCAGAAACAAGAAGCCTAGCATTTTCTTCTGTGGGGTTGTGGAAAGATTGTTTGTGTCTAATTCGCCATGATGCATATATACATTTTGCTCATACTAGTGTAACATTTCTTGAACGCTTACAGTTTGTAGGGAGTATGCTCAGTCTTTGTCTGGTTTCTGTTCTGTAGGGAAGCAATAAGTCGCCTGTGTGAAGCTGTCCCTGGGGCAAACGGAGCCATTAAAAAGAGAAAGGTAAATATTGATATGGTTTTCTTGTTTTATGTCTTCACACTTGTGACAAAGGTAATATCATGATAGTTGTTAGTTTATTCTGCCATATGACTCACAGCCCAGCCTAGGATATATTGGATGACAGGACATCAAAGCTGCACTCAAAGTTGTTCTTGTCCCTCACGTTTTTCAGACTCATCTGACACTGTCTGAAAAATGGTGCTACCTAGGGACCAGCAGTTAGCGTAATGGCTATGTCGCTGGACTCCCATGTAGTCGACCGCGGTTCGCGTCCTGGACCCGGTGGTTTAAAACTCACGCCGGGCACGTGTGCGTGCGTGCCCAAGATCCCAAGAGGAGAATGGAGGAGAAGGGATTGCGGTGTGGTCATCCCCCCGGGGGGTGATTTCTCGCTTTCTGTCTCTGTCTCTCTCTGTCTGGCGAGCGCACGCGCCCTATAGCGAAAATCTCTCTCTCAAAAAAAAAAAAATGGTGCTACCTTGAGTGGCCAAAGTGGAGAAATGCCTGGTCCCCAGGTCAAGAAACATCAGGATATCAGGGCTCCAGGCCTGGGCCTTCATTTGCTCCTGAGCACGGCACCCCATCTCCAAGACTGTTCTTATGCCTGTGAAGTTAGGGAGTTGAACTGTATGACCGGTTTGGTGCCTTCCAATTCAATATTTTATACTGTATATACACTACATTTGAATGTTTTTGACATTTTTAGACTTGCTGGCCTATTTTCTAATGTAACTGTGGTAGAGGTGTGGGAATAACTCATGGGAAGAAGGAACTATCCATGCTGAAAGAAAACATGGGGGCACGGCCATGGTGCAATCCTTTCTCCTTCATTCTCCTCTCAGGATTTTGGGCATGCACACATATGTACTGAGTGTGAGTTTTAAGCCACCAGGTCTGGGACTTGAACCGTTGTCGGCTACGTGAGAGTCCAGCGACATAGCCATTACTCTGTCTGATAGTCCCATAATGCTTTTTATCTCTACAGAATGGGTTGTAATGTACTTGCCTTCTGATAGTAATTTTAGTCTTTCATTTGTTCTTAGAAAGGTTTGTCAACTTTCTTGATTTTTTTGAGAAACCAACTTTTGGTTTAATCGATTTTCTCTATTCTTAATATTCTTTATTTATTGTAGCTCTGCTCTAATCTTTATTTATAATTGTCGCAAGACACATGAGCTTACCAGAGAGACAGAGAGGGGAGAGAGAAAGCACCACCTAATGGGGCCTGGCCACACTGCCATTCCCTCTCTTCCTTCTCCATCCTGTTGGGATTTGGGGCATGCACACTATCCTTAGCATATTTTTCAAGCCACCAGAGCCGCTCGCCAGACAGACAGAGAGAGACATAGAGACAGAAAGTGAGAAATCACCCCCCAGGGGGGATGGTCACGCCGCAATCCCTTCTCCTCCATTCTCCTCTCGGGACCTTGGGCACGCACGCACACGCGCCCGGCGTGAGTTTTAAGCCACCGGGTCCAGGACACGAACCGCGGTCGACTACGTGGGAGTCCAGCGACATAGCCATTACGCTAACTGCTGGTTCCCCCCAGAGTGTTTTTCAAGCTGCCAGGCTGGGTTTCAAACTGTGGTCAGTTATATGGGATCTAGCTTCCTGACCCACTAGGATATAGATCAGGCACTCTGGTTTAATCTATATTATTTATTTTGCTAGCTTTGGGTTCGGTTTGTTCTTTTTCTACTTCCCTAAGTTTTAAATTCAGGTTTTTGATATGAGATCTTCTTTTAAAAAAACATGTTTATAGTTATGAATTTTCCTCTTATTACTGTTTTCACTGCATCCATATGTTTTTAAAATACTTTGTTAGCACAAAATACCTAGATGCAGTTCCTATTATCTATCTACATTTTACAGATATATAAACTGGGACCCAGAAGGGTTAATAAAATTGCCCAATAATCCTATATATAGAGGATCCAGGTGCCCAGGCAGAGGATTTCAAGACTTAATCCATAAATCCATCACAGTATTTAAATCTTAGGAACCGTAGCCCATGCAGTCTGACTCCAGAATCTACACTCTTACTGTAATATTACCTGCCTCTTTGGCCTGGCATCTACCCCAGGATGTGGGAGCTAAAAACTATTTAAGGGTATTTGAATATGGTCAGTATCTCCATTTGATTCCATTAGGTCAGTGAGCTATTTTGTCATAGGAAGTTTGGAAGGAGTCATCCACTTACACAATAATTTGTAAATTATGAAGCCTAAAAATTAACAGATAATGAAAACTGGGGTCCTTGAGAGAGTGTATGATACAGAGTCAGAAGAGCCAGGCTGCTGTGTCAATACCAGTTCATTAGTTAATGTCAGCTAATGCCTCTCTATCTTAAGAGTTTTGTCATTTGTAAAATGTGGATAGTCATCACTGCCTGGCCCCCTCTTTAGTAAGAGATGGGGGTGTATCTCATCCTCGGCCTCTCCTTTCTGTTCCCCTTCCTTCAGTGACCCCTAAGCACCAGAGACTGCATAGTTTCTCCCTTCCATCTTTCTTCAAGGAGAGATCCTGTAGCAAAATTGTCAGAGTTCATTTAAAAAGTACTAACGATGATTGCCGCAATTTGTTAGTATTTCACTGTAAACCACGCATTTCCGTATACTTTATCACTGAATTCTATTCTTTCTAGACCTTTTATAGCTAGAAGTAGAGGATGGAAGTAATGTTATTATTTATGTTTTATAAATAAAGACACTGAGAGGTTTTGGGAGTTTCCTAAGGTTCCCAGCTAGTTAGTAGGACGCCTTGGACTTGAATGAAGTTGCCCCCCTGCCAATCCCTCTTACATTCTGCTGTACCTCCCTGAAATCCATGTGCGTTCTCTTCAAGAGTCATTTAAATGTTAGGTCATTTCTAATAATGGGATGAAAGACTTTCCTCTACAATAAATACATTTGTTATGTTTTTCACAAAGCTATGATTATTGTGAGGATATAATATGATATGAAAGCTTTTCATGAACAAAAAATATTTTTCTTTTTGACTGTAAAACAGTATAAACATTTAATTGGTATTTAATAATATATATTTTAAAACTAACATGGAAAAGAAAGCCTAGTGAAGCAAATAGAATCACTATGGGGAACACAAAGATCTCTGAAGTGTGTGGTTGGTCTTGTCAAAGGCCATAGGAAGAGCAAAAAAGTAAACCAAGAGTCAACTTTATGATAGCATGATACCTATGACACTTGGGGCTCCTTAGTCACATTTTTTTCACTATATTTCATAATCTCCTTGGAATTAAAAATAAAACTATACATGTGTTTAAGAGTTCAGTGTGTTTCCAGGAGGAATCTAGTAAGAGTGATATACAAACAAAAGTGTGAAAGAAACATTATATTTTCATTGACTGCCTCAAAATATTGATACCTATGTTAAAGAGCCACTAATGTTTCATTCTCAATTGGCCCAAGTTCCAGCAGAGGATTTCAAGACTTAACCCATACCTTCATCGCAGTATTTAAATCTCAGAAATTGCTTATTAAAATCTTAGTGTTGGAAAGGATGATAATAAAAATAATAGAGCCAGTGATGTGGCCTAGTGATTAAGGAAGGCAAATCCCACAAGGCTGGTTGCAGTTTGAGTCCCAGACCCAGAGGCTAGAGAACCTCGCTGGGCACTTACACACGAGTGCCTGAAATCCTAACAAAATGGAGAAATGATGAGAAGGGATTGCAGTTGGTCATGTTCTATTAGGGAGTGTTTTCTCTCTCTCTTTCTCTCTCTCCCCATCTCTCCATCTCTCTCTGCAGAGTGCACATGCCCTCTGGTAACCAATAATAATAATAATAATAATAATAATAATAATAATAATGGCAGCATATATATATGGTCATCAGAAAAGTCATGATGTATTTTTCTATGCAAAGAAAAAATACATCATGACTCTTCCAATGGCCCAGTATATATCCAAGAATTGTGCTAAATTTTTCCCATTAAATCTCCTTTTAAAATTTTTCATTGCTAAAGGGCATGTGCAAGAGAGAGAGAAGGAACCCTCCAATGGGTTGTGGTCACACTACCATCTTTTTTCCTCCATTTCTCCATCCTGCTAGGATTTAGGACATAAACATACATGTGCCCAGAATATTTTTGAAGTTGCTGAGGTCAGATTCAAACCAGTCAGCCATAAGATCTGACTCCCTCTGCACTGGGTTTTACTACTATGCTATAGGGTCAGCCCTTCATTTAACATTTTTATTTAATTTTCATAACAGCACTTATAAAGTGGCTACTATTTTTTCCATATTTTATATAAAAGAAAATAAAATTTTAAAAGGTTATTTGTAAGGAGACCAGCAGGTGGCGTGGTGGCTAAGGTGCTGGATATCCCTACATGGCCAACCAGGGTTCAAGTCCAGACCTGGTGGCTTGCTTTCTCACTTTCCCTCTCTCTCTCTGTGTCTCTCTATGGTCAAATTAAAATAAATGGATAAATAAAATTAAATAATTTTTAAAAAAGGTTATTTGTCCAAGCTCATCCAGCTAATTGCTAAGTGGTATTTCTGCATGAGAAAATTGGCCAACCCAACTTCTCACCCCTTTGTTGGTACACTTCTTGACCTATGACCCCAATGCTTTTATAATTCCTGGGTACCCCCTACTCTCATGATTCTTTACCAAATCCCCAGATCTCTTCTCCCTGAGAAGTGTTTGTCCGGAATTTCAAATTTTATCAAAACATACTCATATCTTCAGGCTCTTTCTCAAAATTTTTCTTAGTAAATTCTGGTAAACCATCTTTTACCAGAATTTACCAGAATGGGCTAAGCCTTTTCTGGTAATATTTGCTCATTTTAACAAGAACGTTCAGAAAATAAGAGTGGTTTATGCTAGGATTTAGGCATCATGGTTTCTGAAAGTAAAGATTAAGAGCTGGTAGAGAGGCCTTTTTAATTCAGCCAAGGGAAAAATGAGGGACAACCAAGGCTGACTTCAATGCAGGAAGCAGTTCATTGGAATGTGTTCATCAATGCTTTAGTGGCATTAGAGTTGATAGACTGTGAACTTTTTCTGTTAGACTCATGGTGTTGAAAAGGACTTAGGAGTCCAGGTGGTATAAACTCGCATGGAAATTCATTCATTTAAAGCAGGTCCCATTCATGGGAACCAGCAGTTAGCGTAATGGCTATGTCGCTGGACTCCCACATAGTCTACCGCGGTTCACGTCCCAGACCCGGTGGCTTAAAACTCACGCCAGGCACATGTGCGTGCATGCCCAAGATCCCGAGAGGAGAATGGAGAAGGGATTGTGGCGTGGCCATCCCCCTTGGGGGGTGATTTCTCTGTCTCTATGTCTCTGTCTGGCGAGCGCACGTGCCCTATAGCGAAAACTTCTCCAAAAAAAAAAAAAAGCAGGTCCCATTCTTAGCACTTGGGACGAAGGGGATGTGTGAGCAAAGTTCTGCAAACTCAGGATGTGCTATGTACTAAAGAATTTGCTGCATTACAATTTTAAAAAATCTTTTTATTTAATTAAAAATCATTCCATCTCACATGATTTATGTGAAGTAAGAGAAAGAGGAAGAATATGGGTTGGCCTATTTTTTTTAGAGAGAGAGTTTTGCTATAGGGCGTGTGTGCTTGCCAGAGAGACAGAGAGAAACAGAGAGCCAGAAATCAACCCCTGGGGGGCTGGCTTTGCCGCAATCCCTTCTCTTCCTTTCTCTTCTTGGGATGATAGGTGCCCAGCATAAGTTTTAAGTCACCAGGTCCAGTACTCGAACTGCAGTGACTCTGTGGGAGTCCAGCGACGTAATCATTACACATTAGCTGGTCCTTGGGTTGGCCTATTTTTAACATGAAAAATATTAACAATCATTCAATAACAAAACTTGTAACTTACAGTGTGTTTTGTTAATTTTTAAAGCCTCCAGTTAAGTTTTTATCAACGGTTCTTGGCAAAAGTAATCTTCAGTTTTCGGGACTGAATATAAAACTGACCATCTCAACATGCAGCCTTACACTGATGAATGTTGACAACCAGCAGGTAAGATCATGACTGTCATTTACAGTTTAATGTAGCATCTATTTTTCTAGAGAAGCTCGTGGGAATAATGAGGATGAAGTTTCAGAAAGAGTATGAACTTAGTAAGACACAAGGGGAAGAAATCTGCCTAAGATTTATGCATAACAATAGTTAGCATGACAGTATTACTAACCCATCACTGGGGCACAACTGCTTGTGTACTTCTAATTGGCTTTGTATGAAGAACTGACGTGCAAAGAACGTAGTGAATATTATTCGGCAACTCATATCCTGGAACCCATTATTGATTAGTTCCCACCACACGTCTTTTAAGGGACAGCAATTCCATTGTCAGAACTAACAGGCTATGTTGGACTGGAGCACAGATGAGAGACAAAAAGGAAAGGCGATATTAATGCTCTAGTTAACCAAAATGTAAGCAGATACCACTTTTGCCCTATTTGTGCTGTTGAAAACCTTTCTAAAATGTACTTGTATGAGCATTAATTATCCCCCTAGATGCCTCATGATACAATGATGTGCCTGAGTTTTCCGTGTGAATTTCATTTCTTGTAGAACAGCATGCTGAAGCAAATGTAGAAGATATACTGGCATTGGACTAAATATGTACCTAAACTAGGACACTCTTTGACTTGCTTTTAATTTTTAAACTAAATTCCTCACATTAGGGTATTTACGTGGGTTAGAGTCTGATTTTTCTCTTTAATAAGTACTGATTCGAGGTTGACTATTTGAAGTTTTTCTATATGGAGGACTGTTTTATTGATCTAGACTCATGGAAGGCTTACTGTCTACTGACAGTAAAAAAACACTAAGAGGCTTTGAGGTCACATATGGGTTGCGATACTGGCTTTGCCACTTATTAGAAAGTTACTCAACCACTCTGAGTCCTGGTTTCCTCATTAGTGAAATGAGGATAGTGCCTATTAGTAGGGAATCTGAAGTATAGATTTAAGAGTATCTCACTGGACTAATTAGAGAGTTAAGTGAGATAATGGATGTAAATTAAGTAGCACAGTGCTGATCACACGGTACCTATTATCATTTGCTCAAGGTAAGAAGGCAAAGTTTGCTCAGAAACCTTTCCATATACTCAGTACTTAAGAGCAAAAACATGCAATACATAAAATTGTCAGTAACATGTAAGTATAGGTTCTGAGGGCTTATTTAGTCTCTAAATTCAAAACCAGAGTAAAAATATTACTTATGAAGTAATAAAAAAATACCTTAGATGAAAATACATAATATGAAATAGTTCAAAATAGATTCATGTCTTACTGGGTCCTGATTACGTAAGAGAGGTGATATCTTAGGCTTTTCTATATCTTAGGCTTTTCTTGGAAGACACTACACATCTGGGTGGAGGGTAATACATTAAAAGTTAACCCTATAAATTTTAAAACCTCTGTAGATGTGAAATTTATTCTTAATTTTCATCCACCTGTATGGTACCACAGAGGCTTGGTGTTTTTACTTTTGAGCTCTCACCAAGTATTGGAGCCCTTGAATTAGCTCAGAATTTTGTATGAGAGGAAGAGCAGGCAAAGCTGGAATCATCATGGTGACAGCTTTGTGCAGAACCTAGTGATTCTTTTTCAAAATGGCCTTTGCCTTGGGCTGCAATGAAAGCAAGTGAGGAATTTATGAATAGGGTTATGATGTAGTAATAAGTGATGGGACATGGTTTATCCTCAGCCTCTTTTCCCCTCCACTACCCTTCTTTAGGCCACAGCAGCTAGAGGTGGTGTTACTAGACACCCGTAACCTTTTAGACAAACTAAATAGGACAGTAGGCATGGGTGGCTACTACCACCAGCAGCTACAGCAATAATGTACTTGAGAGTCATGCACTTGTTTTTGGCACTGGTGGTATGGGGTGGGACTGTGTTCAGTGCACTGCTGAAGTGGGAACCCAGGTTAAGATCTCATTGACCCAGCCATTTTTTAATCATCATTTTGAACTGTTCTGGCAGGCCTGGGGGATATGGCTGGGGGGGAAAAGAAATACCACTGTGGATACTTCAACTCAAGAAGCTTTATATATTCCATGGAAAGGGCAACTAAAAGGTTTGAGTCATGAAGGCAGTAGAAAACAGACCTTATGAATGTACCACAAGAAAATTATTTATTAATTAAACGCTTGAAGAAAGTTAACCCTATAAGTTCTAAAATATAGACAAAGCAATACTAACAGCCTCCCCACCCCCCTCCCCAAATACACACACACACTTACCTTATAAAGATACCCTAGACTGGAAGGTATATAAACAGGTCTGAGATTATGGATATAGTCATAGGTGATGGCATTTATTGGTCAGATGGTTCACACTTATGTTAAGTCACTGGGAGCATAATAGAGCCATCCACTCCCAGAAAATGTTACACAGACCTTCAGAGGTAGAAAATAAAATGACATTAAACACACAATGCTTTCAGATTTTAAAAACAACTGAATTTTTGGAAAGGCAAGTTATAGTTTGTGTTTTCCTGGTTTTAAAATTCAAGCAACAGTCCTCTTGACCTATTTTTAATGTATTAGGGTCTTAAGTAAAATGTCAAAGTCTCAGTTGCTCCCACCCTTACTAATTCTTTATTCATCTACAGCTATCAGTAACTGTAACAGCTATGAGTTGAGAAGTGTAATAAAGGTGGACCAGCAGTTAGCGTAATGGCTATGTCGCTGGACTCCCACATAGTCAACTGTGGTTCACGTCCCGGACCCGGTGGCTTAAAACTCACGCTGGGCATGTGTGTGCATGTGTGCCCAAGATCCCGAGAGGAGAATGGAGAAGGGATTGCGGCATGGCCATCCCCCCTGGGGGGTGATTTCTCGCTTTCTGTCCCTCTGTCTCTCTCTGTCTGGTGAGTGCACGTGCCCTATAACAAACAAACAAACAAACAAAAACTCTAAAAAAAAAGAAGTATAATAAAGGGATAAATGAGGTAAAAATACATAGAAAATGATGACATCCTTTATGAGAAGCAGCAAAACAATGGTGCAAGCACAATAACGTTGAGTGCTACTTGGCTTCTGTGTTAAGAAGGTAACACTTCCAAAGCATGGCAAACAGAATACCTTCCCTGTCTAAAGGTGTATTAGATGCTTTTTGCAAGGTAGAACTAAAAGCCAAGAGCTGCCAGATATTCCACTTTTGCCCCCAACTCCAAAAAAGAGTGATTGTGGGTTTTTAGCTGCTATGTCTAGATTTTTTTTTTTAACAGAGATTTTTGCTATAGGACGTGTGCACTCACTGGAAAGACAGAGAGAAATCACCTCCCGGGGGGATAGCCACAACACAGTCCCTTCACCTCCATTCTCCTCTCGGGATTTTGGGAATGCACACACATGCCTGGCATGAGCTTGAAACTGCAGGGTCTAGGACTCAAACTCTGGTAGACAACATATGAGTCCAGAGACATAACTATTATGCCACTTGCTGGTCCCATAGATTAAGATACTGGTCTCTAGGAAATTAGAAGTATATATATTATCACTTCTCAGCCTTTTGGCTAGTATCAAGTGTAGAAATTTAGACTGTAAGCATGAACTGAATAAAGTAGATCTGTGGACTAAGGGCAGCCAATGTGGGACAGCTAATTTAAGCAAACACTTAAAATATACATTCCTAGATCTGGAAAACTTGTCACAGTATGTACTTCTAAGCTTCTTTAAATTCCCTATCACCGGGACCAGCAGTTAGCGTTAATGGCTATGTCGCTGGACTCCAGTGTAGTCGACTGCAGTTCGCATCCCGGACCCAGTGGCTTAAAACTCACGCCAGGCGCGTGTGCGTGCGTGACCAAGATCCCAAGAGGAGAATGGAGGACAGGGAGTGAGGAGTGGCCATCCCCCCTGGGGAGTGATTTCTCACTTTCTGTCTCTGTCTATCTGGGGAGAGCACGCGCCCTATAGCAAAAACCTCCCCCCAAAATAAATAAATAAATAAATAAATTCCCTATGACCATTCCCTCAGAATTTCCCTAGAATCTTCCTCTAGTTTCCATTAATAAAGCTCTATCATCTTTCTATCTATGCTCAGTCCTCACAATTTGTAAGGTCCATCCAATTATCCTTATTTCCCAGCTTAGGATTTGAGCCACAGAAATTGAGTCATTTATCTAGTTTTCAAACTAAAAGTATGAAGTCCAAGTTTGAATCAGTGGACACAATTTTGAATGTGATAACTGTTAATGTTGAAGTTTTTTTTTTTTTTTTTTGAGAAGTGTTTGCTATAGGGTGTGTGCGCTCACCAGACAGAGAGACATAGAGACAAAAAGTGAGAAATCACCCCCCAAGGGGGATGTTCACGCCACAATCCCTTCTCCTCCATTCACCTCTTGGGATTTTGGGCACACACGCACATGCACCCGGCGTGAGTTCTTAGCCACCGGGTCCGGGACGTGAACCACGGTCGACTACGTGGGAGTCCAGCGACATAGCCATTAGGCTAATTGCTGGTTCCCAAGTTTTTTGTTTTTGTTAGAGGGCACCTGTGATCACCAAGACAGGGAAAGTGAAAAAGCATCTCCATGGGGTATGGTCACACCGCAACCCCTTCTCCTCCACCTCCCTCTCCTTTCAGGATTTTAGGCATCCACGTATGTGCAGTTAGCATGTTTCTCATGCCACCATGTCCAGGACTTAAACCTTGAGGTTTATCATGTGGGGTTCAGCTGCCTTAACCACCAGGCTATAAAGTTGGCCTGAGAATACAAGTGATTTTAAAATGTTACCATTTTCTTTCTTCTTTTTAAAGTTTTTTTGCCATAGGGCACACATACTCACCTGAGAAGGACAGAGAGACATCAAGAGGTAAAGTGAGAAATCACTCCCCTACTCCCACCTCCCTCCCCCCAGGAGGATGACCATGCCACAACCCCTTCTCCATTCTCCTCTCAAGGTTTTGGGCACACACACACACTCTGTGTGATTTTCAAGCCACCAGATCTCAGATTGAAACCACAGTCGGTCACACGGGAGTACAGTACTTCAACCACCACACCACCTGCTGGCCCTAAATGTTACCATTTGCTATTGTCAGTAAATATGTACATGTTTGGATTTTAGTTCTCTCAGTTTACTGTTTATTTGTAAGACCAACAAACCTATAAACCTATTAGTTCCAGAGCCCAGCTCTTTCTACCCCAGATGACTTCAAATGCAATAGGGAGCAGATTTGTAGTGTTGCCCACTTTCATTGTTCTCTACTCAGTCCCAGAAGTAGAATCACATCATTCTAGTTCAGAGATTTTTTTTTTCCTGTGCCTTTTTTTCCTGGCATCTTTATCTGAAGGTAAATGCAACTGGCCAGTTCATTATGCACTAGCATTCTTTTTCAAGAGTATTGTAATTTACATTGCATGCAATTAATTATCTATCTAGACTTATCTGACTGCAGCTGCAAGCTGAGAAACCAATAGGAGTGATGAATGAGAGATGCAGGATTAAAAGCCAACAATCTCTCCATTTCTCCCTCTCTCTCCCAGCCAGACTAGGGATTATGATCACCTTTACTTGTCATAGTCTTATATCTTACAGGAAACTCCTCACCTCTCACATCCAAAAGATGACTATAAAAATAAGCTCTGACTAGTCCTTTTGTACTAGATTGTCCTTTACTACCATAAGAAAGGGGAAATTTAGAACCTTTTTACTGATCATGATAAAAACCTGCTGATAGACTAATTTGCTCTGACATGTTCCTTTGAGATAATTATTCTCATAGAACTTCAGCATCTTAAAATAACCACAGCAACATGCTCATTAATTAAGAGCAGATTTTCCTAGATTGGTCATTTCTTACAAGCAATACTTAATTTACTCCGTTTAACTTCCAGAAATTTTGTTAACTAGTATTTGAAGCTAGGTCATTTCCCTTAAGTTTCAATCATAAAGTGGCTGCAATAACACACAAGTAGCATACAAAGTGTACATGCAATACTATTAGTCAAACAAAATACACAAAACAAGAAATTTTATTATCTCCAATGCTGGTGCATAACAAATAACAAGCTTAAGTAGAGGAGGAGAGGGAGGAAAACTTTAGATACTGAACAGAATTCCTAGGTAGGTTTAAACCTTTAAATTCTAACAGAATAATTATTCACAAGTCTTTTTAGATATAGAGCTTTTCCTTTTACTTGACAATTCTGTTTTTGAAGTATAGAGCTCAACTAGTCTTTCACCTTTCAAGTTAAAAAAAAAAACAAAGCAAGCAAAACAAAAGTTCTCTAGTATATAAAGGTGCTAAAGTCACTTTGTATGTTCATATATATTTTAAGTCTAAATCTAAAATGTTTTATGTCATTTAAAAAATGGTTATGACAATAGAGTTTCTAAATCACAGAACACACAGTAGCTTTACAAATGATCAAGATATGTGTACAAATGAAATATGCTTTTGGAAACACATTTTAAGATATAGCAGCACATGTGATACATATTTCTTTTCGAGCTTCTCATCCTTTGGGATAATCAAGAATTCTCAATTATCTTACACTGAAAATTTAGCCTTTGATAATGATGGCTTAAATCAATCACAAAGTGGAATTTTCTGTTTTCTCAGCAGGTTTGCATCCAAATAACTCAAAGATATCTTGTGTCTTTGTTTAATATTCTGTTCTCTTTATAAAGTTAGTATCATGGGCTTGTACTGGCCATTTTATGTTGGTCATGATTTATCCTTGTGAAGCCTTCTTTACAATAAAACATATACAAAAGGTATTTTCCCCAATACATGGAAAATAATCTGGATCAATAAAATAATGCCATAGCATATTTTAGGACATTCTTGAAAACAGATTTCAATCGTCTTAAAATCCTTTATTTCTTTACTGATCCTCTTACTTTTTCAGAACCGTGCACTGTTCTATTGCCTTCTATTCCGAAAAACAAACACTTTTATTTTTTTAATCAAGTTTTTCATTGGCACAGAACCATTTGGAATGAACCCCAAAGACAGTGAAATGTTGGGTCTGTCTTCAAGTAGTTTCCTCCTCTTTCAACAGCATCTAAATTACTCTCTATCAATAATCTCATCACAGCCGAGTTCTTCGGTTAGACGATTGACAACCATAAGTGAAAAGAGCTCTTCAATAAAAGCCAACTGATCAAACGGGGTCTTCTCATAATGCATCTGAAACCCGCCATCCAGAGCTGCTTCTCTTGCTCTGGATGTTCTCAGGAACATCTTGTTGGCCTCTTCGAGGGCCGCCGATACTCTGTAGCCGGCTCCACTCAGCGGCTCCTCTTCCGGGTAGTCATAGTCGTCCTCCCAGTCATCAAATACCTCGTCCTCGCTCTCGAAGTCCGGGCCCGCAAACTGGCCCGCCTGCGCCCCAGGGTTGGGCCCCTTGGCAAGGCGCTGTTTACTCGCTGGCGCCGCCATTGGCTGGGCCTCCTCCTCCTCCATTGGGCCTTCCTCCTCCAGCTGTGGCGGGGGCCCGTTGCGGGAGAGGCCCAAGGATGGCTCCCGGACCCCGCTGCCTACCTCCATCTGGGGAAGGTCACCTTCGCCAGGAATCACATCCATCTGCAGATCACTGCTCTCTTCATACAGCTGGGACAGTTCTGCCATTTCCGACATGGTACAAACCGTTTAAACCCTAGCCAAGCCCTTTTGGCAAGATAGGTGCTACTCGGCTTGTGGTTGTGCGCGTGCGCCAAGGCTGTGTGCGTGCGCAAATGCCGCGCGCTTGCGTAACTGTGGGCGCATGCGTAGCCCCAAGTAGTTCCCTTTGCTTAGCTGGCTGCTGTTGGGAACGCCGTTTAGCGTTTTTCAGAGAACGTTAGCGAACTGGGTGAGGTACTCTTCTATCGATTCGGACGTCATATCTAGAGACTTCGTGCGAGAACATCACCTAGTCTCTGCGTTACCGAACAGAACATTACTGTTCTGCTGCTTATGATGCACATTGGAAAATACCTCCAGTGTAACAACACTGAATGCTCCTCCCACTTCTCCACCTCCTTCCCTAGGCAATCGCATCTGCTCCGAGGTTTTAATTATGCGCCAATGACTTGGAAATCCTCGTCGCTAAATCCGCAACCACAGATCAACATATTAAGAATTAATCCACTCTGCTATTCTGTTTTTGTTATTTAACAAAGTTAAATTCATAGAGACACTTAAGTATGTTATCTAACTTTTTAAAAAGTTACAGTAGAGAAATACTTGGTCCCGTTTTTCTCAGGAGGTAACTTGATGCTATTAACAATTTGGTGTGTATTCTTTAAATCCTTTATCTTTGCATTTATATAGTCGTGGAAAAATACAATGTTGTATTTTATTTTCTACATGTTTCACATAACTCTGCAACTTACAAAAGCCTCACCATTATCTTGGAGAGGTAACTTTGTTAATATAAATATATCATGTGTATGTATCTATATCTTTCACGTAGAAACACTATGTTGACCTAACCGTGAACAAATAATTTTTAGTTCTTTTCTGTTTTGGGTTTTTTTTTTTTTTTTGATACAATACACTGGGTAAATTAACATCCACATGTGCCAATGGTTTTCTGAGGTATGTGCTTAAAGAGGGAAAGTGGAATCATAGGGTACATGTACATTAGTTTAAATACTGTCAAATCACTCTTCAAAGTTTGGTATAAATTTAAGCTCTAGCCAGCGATGTTTGAGAATATCTACACCCTTGCCACATATAATTTTGTTGAACTTTTAGCAGTGTTATGAATTTAATGGTATTTCATTTTATTTTCTATAGCTTTGAATTTCTGGGGATTATCTTTAAAATGTTTATTGAACATTTGATTCTTCTAAATTGTTCTTATTTGGGGTATTTTTAAAAATTTTATTTATTATTACTTTTTAATTTGAGCAAAGACAGACACATAGAAGGGAAAGTGAGAGAGCAAGCCACCAAGCCTAGGAGTCCAACTGCTGTTGGCCATATGAGAGTCTACTATGACACCTGCCAGTCCCAGGGTTTATTTTCATTTACTTATTAATTATATTTTTTTCTTCAAAAGGTATCTTTTATTTTTTATATCCAAACACTGTATCATTAGAACATACAAAATGAATATTCCCAGCATGAATGCACTGTGTATTAGTTCAGTCAAAGATATTGCCATACATATTTTCAACAATTTTCCATTTATGTGTCCCTTAAATGTTTTGCTTCTTTCATTTTCCCCTTGATTCTTTCCCTCTGACCCTTCCCCATTTCCCACCCTACGCCACACTGTCTCCAGTATCCACAGTTGCTCTCCACGCTTTTATACATTCCAGTCTTTCAGTTTCTGCCGTAGTGCAGGTATTTGGTATATACTGTGTTGGGACATACAATGCCTCTCTTTTATAGTCTAACTTCCTTTGTTTAGCGATAAATCTTCCATATTCATCCACTTTCCATCAAAAGCCAGGGTCTGGTATTTTTATGGCTGAGTATATTTCATGGTGTATATGCACCACAATTTTTTTTTTAAATCAAGCCTCTCATACTTATTAAATCAGAATCTTGGCACAAGGCATATTCTGTGTTAAAAATAAAATATTTACATATTTATACTAATTCAAATTTACATACAAACCCACACACAGTATAGGTGTGTGACTTATGTGTATTGATAAGGATATTAGTGTAATTGTTGCATCTTGGGGGGAGTATAATTTCCCTATATAAATAGTATAAACTGAACATAAGATTTCATTCAGAGTTTCCCCTAGTAAACATCTATTCACAAGAAAACAATTGTGTTTTCCTACACTAAAAACTTGCAGGCTATTTTAAAAATCTCCGTATGAATTTCCATCCCCCTAGTATAAAATATGGAAAAATAGAAGATTATTCTAGGAATACTACATGACTTTCTCCTATCTAGCAGTAACTAGGTATTTCAGAATGATTTTTTAAAAAGATAATACAATTTGGTCAGCAAACTAAGCCGTTGTTGAATGCAAATGCAACTAAAAGCTTTGTATTCATTTATTCTACAAGAGCAAACATTCAGAAAGCCTCTGCAATGTATCTTTTTTTTTTTTTTTGAGAGATTTTCATTGTAGGGCACGTGCGCTCGCCAGACAGAGAGAGACATAGAGACAGAAAGCAAGAAATCACCCCCCAGGGGGGATGGTCACGCCGCAATCCCTTCTCCTCCATTCTTCTCTCGGGATCTTGGGCACGCATGCACACGCGCCCGGCGTGAGTTTTAAGCCACCGGGTCTGGGACACGAACCGCGGTCGACTATGTGGGAGTCCAGCGACATAGCCATTACGCTAACTGCTGGTTCCCTGCAATGTATCTTGATATTCTCAGAGGCTGACTTGGAAAAATCTCTTCATTCCTATAGAAAATTAATCCCTTCTAAATGGATCCTGTGGGTTTTTACATTATGATTTTGTGAATGTTAGGATCAGAAGCAATAGAAAACCTAAAAACAACAAACAGCAACAATAAACTGACTTAAACAATAAGAAAATATTTACATAACCTAAAACCCAAAGATTAACAAGGTTCAGGGTAAACTTTTTTTTTTTTTTTTTTTAGGTATTAATAGGTAGTTTTTTTTGGTTTTGTTTTGTTTTGTTTTGTTTTTGGAGAGGTTTTCGCTATAGGGCGTGTGCGCTCACCGGACAGAGAGAGAGAGAGAGAGAGAGACAGAAAGCGAGAAATCACCCCCCAGAGGGGATGGTCACGCCGCAATCCCTTCTCCTCCATTCTCCTCTCTGGATCTTGGGCACACACGCACACGTGCCCGGCGTGAGTTTTAAGCCACCGGGTCCGGGACACGAACTGCGGTTGACTACGTGGGAGTCCAGCGACATAGCCATTACGCTAACTGCTGGTTCTCTTAATAGGTAGTTTTTAATACATTCTTTAATTTCAAGAAAAACAGTTTTAGTTTTAATAGATCACAATAAAAAAATGTTAAGAGAAGTTTGCTTAAAACTTAAAGCCAGGAAAAAGATTAGGATTCAGTTCAAATAGTAGGTAGATGAACCAATCAGCAGTTCAAGAGAAGACAAAAATTCCTAAATATGAAAATCAAAGCATTGAAAAAAATCAGTAATGTTTTAGTCTAAAGTCAAAAAATTCTACTTTACTAGTTCAGTTTCATGTACTTAATCTCTCTTGTATTGAATTTGCAGTGTTACTGCGATCTGACCTTTCCATTTAAACTCTGGAAGTTAACATTCAACTCTGGACTTGTCCCTGCCACTAGGCTGGCCATTTTCTTGGTCGTGTTTTGTACTCTTATTTCTGTGTGTCCAACTTTAGTTTTACTGGTATAGCACTCCCTTCAGCACTTCTTAGAGAGCTGGTCTGGTGTTGGTGAATTCTTTCAGGTTTTGTTTCTCTGAGCATGTCATTGTCTTTTTTTCCCATATGTAAGATAATCTTGCTGGGTATAGTATTCTTGGTTTAAATTGTTTTTCACTTGTGAATATATTTTTCCATTGTTTCCTTGTTTGCATTGTTTCTGATGAGAGGTCTGACGTTAGCCTTATGGGATATCCTTTGAAAGTAACTTGACATTTCTCTCTTGCCAAATTTAATATTTTGTGTCTGTCTGTGGTTTTGGTCAATCTGGCTATGCTGTGCCATGAGGAAGATCTTGGGTTGATTCTATGTGGGGTCCTTTGTATTTCTTGGATCTAGATATTTGAGCGCCTCTCTAGGTTTGGAAAGTTTTCTTCCAGGACTTCATGGGATAGATTATCAATGCCCTTATTAGTTTCTTCACTCTCTGAGATACCAGTGATCCAGATGTTTGGGCATTTAATGGTATGTAGTAGTACTCATATATTATTCTCATTTTGGGGGGTTATTTTCTCAGTCTCTTTGGTGAATTTTTCTAGGTCAGAGGTTTTATCTTCTACATCTGAGATTCAATCTTCTGCATGATCTAATCTGCTTTTAATCTGCTTTTAGTCCTTTTAAGGGAGGTTTTGGCTTTCTGTATTACAACTGTCATCTCTAACGATTCCATTTGATTCCTTTTTATGATGTGTTTCTCCTCTATCAGATAGTGCAAGAACATCCTCACCTTTTGGAACTCATCTCTTTTCTCTTACATTGTCTGGAGTTTGTTGTCTCTCTTCTCTTGCATCTCTGTTAGCTTTTTTACTATGAATATTTTAAATTCTTTATCTGACATTTCCATGAGTTCCCTTGTATTGTCTGTGAAGGAACAAGAGTTATTCTTTTCCCTTAGAGGAGAGATATTTTCTTGGTTTCTCATATTTCTTGAGCCTCTGTGGTGGTATCTGGTCGTCTGATGGATTTTTACATTTTTTTCCTAGTTTTTGAGCATTCTGAGGAATGCAGGAGGAGGTGACCTGCAATCTCTAAACAGTACCATTTTTCTCCCTTTGTACAGCTGACTCAGTGGAAATTGAGGATTAATCTGACCCTGAAAGTAATCAGATATTTGGCTACTGACCATATAGACTTGTTTAGAAAATCAGTGTGTGGAGGCTGAGCAGAAAAGTGAGAAAGGAAAAAGGAAAAGAAAGAGAGCGCAGGAGAAAAAAAAAAAAAAACAACAAAGAAACAAAAAGATAAAACAATAAAAAATTTTTTCAAAGCAAAAACTGAAAATCACATGGTACAAATGGGGCTGCTCAGAACTCATAGATGGTGGCTGATTGACTTGTCCTCTGGGGGCAAGGAGAAAGGTAAGATTAGCAAGATGAAAGAGTGGCAGAGAAC